AGAGGTGATTCTGCCCCTCTGCTCGGCTCTGCTCTGCTCCGGTGAGACCTCACCTGGAGTGCTGTGTCCAGCTTAGAGCCCTCAGCACAAGAAGGACGTGGACTTGTTGGAGCGGCTCCAGAGGAGGGACAGACAAATGATGAAAGGGCTGGAGTACCTCTCCTGCTAGGACAAGCTGAGAGAGTTGGAGTTGCTAAGCCTGGAGAAGAGAAGGCTCTGCGGAGACCTTATAGTGGCCTTCCAGTACCTGAAAGAGGCCTGCAGAAAGTCTGGGGAGGGACTGTTCACAAGGGTGTGTAGCGACAGGATGGGGGGTAAAGGTTTTAAACTAGAACAGGTAGTTTTGGTTAGATATCAGGAATAAATTCTTTACTACAAAGATGGTGAAACACCAGCACAGGTTGCCCAGAGAGGTGGTAGAGGCTCCATCCCTGGAGACATTCAAGGTCAGGCTTCATGGGGCTCTGAGCAACCTGATCTAGTTAAAGATGTCCCTACTCATTGCAGGGGGCTGGACTAGATGACCTTTAAAGGTCCCTTCCAGTCCAACGTATTCTATGGTTCTATGATTCAAGATTCTCCAAAAGGGTAAAATGGCTTTTTAGGGAGGGTTTAGCGCTAGAGCTGGCACTATCTGGGCACAGTTGGTAGCACCAGGAAGCAGCGTCCCTCTTCCTGTTATCCATGTTCTTAACAAGGGTGAAGCTTCATTTTACATTTTGGGAGGAAGGGAAGGGGAAATGCCAAATTATCCTAGGGTCTCACAGTCGGCAGAATGGCATGTAAGACCACAACAAGTGCTGCTTTTCTTAAAAACCTGTATCAGAGCAGAAAGACACAGGCAAGGTTTAGAAATGACGTATTAGGGACCAACCCTGCAGTTTCCAGTTTCTCAGGTTTTTGGCACATAATGGACCTTGAACACACAAACGCAGCCATTGTGCAGAGGATTTTCCAGAGTGGCCCATCCCATCCAGAGAGACTGGTACTCTGGGAGGGCTGAAAGGTGCAGCCTGTGTCTGAATGGGACCCCAGCACATTGAGATGGCAGAATGCAACCCCTTCCACAGGCTGGTTCCCACCAGAGGACTCCCCTGAGGAAGCATGGATGCAGGGTGCAGTCTGGCCAGGGCAGTGCTGCCCTTCAGGCCCTCAGCCCTCTGCCTGGGATGTGACAACCTGTCCCTCAGATCAGGCTCCAAGACAGGGATAAGCAGGGACACATCTGACAGGGGTGAGCCAGGCTTGTGCAGCTGAGGACCACGATGTGCTTCCCACCCTGGGTGGAGCATGGTTAACCAGGGTGTTGCTTCCATCTAAGTGCTGGGCTAAAGGCATCTAGCAAGTCTTCAGTCAGCTCATATAGTCCTTTTGACTCAAAGAAGGGGCTGAGGTCTGTTAGCATGCCAGGATGTCCCTCTACAAGTAATAAACATGCTGTCACTCTTCAAAACTGTGACTCTTCAGGAAACGCCACACCTGGGCTCACAGCTGTGAGGCACAGCTGGTAGGGCCAACGCTACCCTGGCACTTGTGTCCCTGGGATGTCCTACCACCTGAGACAACCTCTCCAGACTGTGAGCAGCATGACACCTGCACGGAGAGGAGGAGGGAAGTACCCTGGGGCCATTGCCCTGGCCGTGGGGATGTAGAGGAGGTTGGGTGGCACTGGACACGCTGACCCAGGCAGTGGGATTTCATCCACGGCGCATCACTTAGTGCCAGGCTCTGCTGCTGATGAACAGTTGGTTCCCGTAACCGGCTTCATGTTCCTTCAGCAATTACTCGTGAGTAATCAGTGGCATCACCCATCAGATGAAGTTTTTGATGAGGTTTGTCTGACATTCAGGAAAACATGTCTAGCAGGACATGGCTTAATTCCAACCAGCTATTTCATTTTAAAAAAAAAAAGTAGGAACACAATTTTTCCAAAACTGAAGTTTTCACTGTTGAGAAAGAATCAGGCTTCTGAGCTCTACCCTGAGCCTGATCAGGCAGTGATTGCAATAGGAGATGTAGCTTGATATTGCTCTAATTTGAAATGAAATGATTTTGATTAGTTTAATAAACTCAAATGAAACATATCTCTTCCAGCGACATGAAGTGTTTCTTTTTAATTAACGCTTTAATAAGCTTTTATGTTTCTCAATATATTTTCACAGACATAAGGCTTCAAGAGAACATGATGAGTAACAAGGTTCAGTATCTGCTGCCTGATTGTGAAGGCAGTGCAAGGAAGGCAGGGTTTGCTCAGTCCTTTTGCAAGATTTTGGTTGCCATTTGCCAGAGGTTTGCACAGTCCAGGGTCCATTCCTATTTGAAAGTTCTAGATGCTATGGAAATAGAAATACTAAATAATAAGTCATATAGTGTAATGCTGCCCATACAGTAGACTCACAGATAACATGCCCTCTTTGGGGTTCTAGTTTACTGTTTTAACATTACTTAAGGCTTACAAGTCCTCCAGACAGGTCTCTCTCACTGCTAGTGGTCTTCAATACTGCACAAAAATCTACTTCTCACTTTTTCCATGCTAAAAGACTTTGAAAGTATGAAAATGTGCCATTACCACAAATGGAGTTGTGCCAATAATACATAGCTCTGTAACGCAAGTTACTACATTTTAAAATAAACAAGCAACTACTATATTGTAATGTGTACCCGATAGCCTAAGAGTAGGCTTAGTCTAGAAACACAGGTAATCTTTGGTATAATAAAGTATTTTGGTTAAATGAAGGGAAAACTGCCCAAGCAGCTGGGGTGTAGAAATCACAGCTGCCAGGTCAAATCCTGCCTCAAGCATGACACAAGCTGTGCCATTGATTTAATGGAACTTGTTTGTGTGAATTACAGTTACCGGGCTTAGTTCTAGGCAGAAAACCTAAATTTAATTTATTTTCAGAAAATTCTCCCTACTGCCTTTTAAGCAGGACAATTTATTCCAAGTGCTTCGAAGAGGAAAGCTCCTTTCTAAAGTTATCTGTGGTATTTTGCAATGTACATGTTGTTCCAGTGTCCCTATTTAATAATTTCTTAAACCTATCTCTGCGATAGCACTTCATATATTTTTCTAAATCAATGAAACATGATAGAAATACCAGCTGTCCTATTCACGTATCAGTACAAAACAACTGATCCGTGAAAGTACATTAATCAATATCAGAAGCAAATGTTTAATGTTTTCCAACTCTAACACTATATTGATGAGCTTTTACCAGGGAGAGGTCCAAGTTTAAGCCATGACTAATTCTGGCTCCGGGGAATGTGTATTTGTGCAATTTCAGCTCAGTTTTATCTTTTGCTCAGCAAAAAAAAGTCCAGGCTAATGGGCTGGAGTTAGGATAGCTGCTCAAACTAACTACCCCAAGGATTTTTAAACTGACTTACTTTTGTTTCAGGTAGTCGGGAATCTGCTTTTGTACATGCCATCTCCTCTGCTGGGGTTGTTTTCGCCATCACCAGGGCGTGTAGCCAAGGGGAGCTGAAGTCCTGCTCCTGCGATCCCAAGAAGAAGGGCTCGGCCAAGGACAGCAAAGGCCAGTTTGACTGGGGTGGCTGCAGCGATAACATTGACTACGGCGTTAAATTTGCCAGAGCCTTCGTGGACGCCAAGGAACGGAAAGGAAAAGATGCGAGAGCGCTGATGAACCTTCACAACAACAGAGCTGGGAGGAAGGTGGGTGTCCATCTCCCCGGTGCCTGGAGATGCTCTCGGAGAGCTCTCACGGGTCTGTGGGGGCTAGCAGCTGGCCCTTGCCAGCTCTTCTAAGGTGTTAGGAAGAAGTGTGGGATGTGCAGGAGCCTGAGATGCTATTTCTGTCTCCCTCAGAAGTCTGGTGTGGCAGAGATCTCCAGACAGACTGAATTCAACTGCTTGGTAGTGCTGTCTTCTGAGTCAGTCCAGCGGGAAGTGAAGCATGAGCCCGTCATTGCAGGATCAATTTGGACGGGCATTTGGTTTTGAGCTTAATCCTTGTACATGGAAGAGTTTTACTTTTGGTTAATATAGCATAGAATTTTCTAAGGGAGGCTGAAGACCACATTGAAAAACTGGCTTGACTATTAGAGAACAAATTCAAAGTAGTATTGGAGGGGAAAAGAAGAATTCTGTCCATTCCTGTACGTATATGGTAAACCTAAACACAAAATGAGCAAAGATAAAATACCTTTACTCCACTTTTTAAGGAAATAAATCCAAAATGCCTATCTCTCTAAAAGGCACTGGCCTTGGGGCATGATATGCTCTAAATAAACCTCTTTTCTAAAAGAGTCTTTACATTTTTATTGTGGGTGAGTAGGAGTAGTGGCCAGCCCTACTGCCTGCTGCTGGTGCAAAGGCACTTACATTTTTGTTGTGGTAGCTATAAATAGGAAGAGTAGTGTATGAAACTGAAGTACACTGTTTCATTATTCAAAACATATTCAAAATTTGCTGCATTCGTGACTTCTGAAGCAATACATAAAAATATTTTTAGTGCTAGACCAAGCACTTAAAAAATGATTCATAGGGACATCTTGTTTCTTGTCTTTGATATTCTTTAAGGTATATTCAGTAGGAAGTAGATTGGTCATATTCTGATATTTTTATATTAAAAAGTTCCCTTTATAAACTGTGAAATTGTTCTATATTAACTAGCCTTTATTAGAAGAAAAGATCCAATCCTAATGAATTGTACTGCAAGTGGATGATTTTTCTGATAAATACTTCTTCAACATCTTTCCTCCACCTGTTCATTACCAGCAGGTGTAAGTAATATGTAATATAGACAGATGAGTATCTTGGTAATATATATACCAATAATAAGACAGTATTGGTAAGAAGGTAGGGCCTTTGATTTAGAAAAAAAGATCAAGAGACTTTAATAAATGTATTAGATTTATAATAGTCAACATATTCTTACATGGTCTAGGACCTACTTTATAGAAGGGGACACTGGTGCGTGCCCACAGCCAACAGCACAGGTTTAGCTTTGCAGGGATCTCACTACCTCAACCTGTCCACAAGCCTGGCATTCAGGTCTGGGTAAGACCAGCTGTGCCCTTGGCTTTTTGTCACCCCCAAAAGGAGTGTCGATAGGTTTCTCCTAAAACTAAACTGTTCAGATTTTGCTAATTCCAAAATACATAGAATAAATGTTTATAGTATCCTCATATGAATTGTGCAAAATAATGTGCTGTGTACCCACGTAGGAACATAACTGACAAAGAAAAAATCCTGCATTGCTATTTGCTTCTTCCACTGTTCCAGCAACTTGTTTTAAACATACAAGTGGTTAAACTGATTTCTACTCAGATAATTAAAGCCAAGCATCTGCTTAAATTCCAGATTTGTGATAGTGCCATTGGCAATGAAGTGGGGCTGTGAGAATGTCAGAGACTCCTTTGAAATAGTCATATCGTTTACAAATCAGAAAGAAAATTTGAAGTACTTCAGTTTTATAATACATTCTCACTTTATTACAAAGTGCTTGACCGAAAAATGCTGCCCCGCTGTGCATCAGTCTCACTTTTAATCATGGAACTTTCTCCTCTCCTACCTTCCTCCCATGGTGCTGTTCCTCTTGCGCAAGCTCTGAAATGTTCGTATTTCATGAACCCGTAAGGCGTAATATTTATAGATCAAATATCCACGTCTTCAAAATTAGGAATGAATTATTTATTGTATATGAAGCCATCGGTTGTTCTCCAACATCCTATGGATAGCTTAAATATCTGAGACAAAGCTGAAATGGCTTTAATGCTATCCGTACATTAAATTAAAGATGGTGATCTCTCCCGTGCAAGCTAATGAAGGTCTTATCCTAAAATGCTTGTTTTTATCCTAAAATGCGTGGTTTACAAGCATGTAAAAAGAATTGTATTTTACTTTTTTGCATAGACCTGATGCCTAGCCCAGGTACGATGCCTTGCACATGTAAAATCATTTAAGTACAAAAAGCCTGTGAATTTCTGGGTAATATCTGAAACACTCTTTAAGGCAAAGGGCAACTTCATGAAGAAAAGCTAGAGAGGGTCAGCACGGCCACACTTCAGCCGGAATGATGGCGAATGAGGGGGGACCTTCGCCTGCAAAGGACCTGAGTGATTCTGTTCCTTTTCTAGCTAATTCCCTCCTGTCCAGTCTGTGTCCCAGCGCTGTGGGCCATCCTCATCCTCGGGATGCCTGGCAGGAGCGTAAACCCACCACCCAAAGGATCCTGTGTGAGGTTGAGTCAAGCGACCCGAGCAGACCAACCGTGTGGGGATGACTTGATGCTACCAGTGGGTGTCACTACAGACCGTGCTTTGGAGACCCCTCGCAGAGCCTGGCACGGCAGGATTGAATGGGGAAGGGCTGAGAAGCATGAACTACAGTTTTGTTTTACCTGTGTGTATTTTACTGCGTTTCTAAACAGGCCGTGAAGCGGTTTTTGAAACAAGAGTGCAAATGTCACGGTGTGAGTGGATCGTGCACTCTAAGGACCTGTTGGCTGGCCATGGCAGACTTTAGGAAAACGGGAGATTATCTGTGGAAGAAATACAATGGAGCGATTCAGGTGGTCATGAATCAAGATGGCACGGGTTTCACTGTGGCTAATAAGAGATTTAAGAAGCCAACTAAGAATGACCTGGTATACTTTGAAAGCTCTCCAGACTACTGTATCAGGGACAGGGATGTAGGTAAGCCTCTATCATTACATGTGAATGGTTTTATTTCAGGCACTTGTACTTTGACTGTCAAGAATTATCATTGTTGAGTTTGTGTGTGTATGTTTGTGTGTGTGTATATATATATATCTTGAAAATAGCAATTCTCAGTTAACCAAGACACAGTAACCAGCAGAAAACAGTCAGGAAGATGTTTTGGAAGGACAGATCTGTACCAGAACCATAAGTTCCTCGATGTCCCTAGAAGTACAACAGCCAGTTGTTCTAATATAATTCAGCAGGTTTTTATATGTATATAGTAAAAAAAATGTATAATATATAATATAATTCCAGATGGTATGGAGCCCTGGAGGTACTGCAAGGCAAAAGCTGCTTTTAGGACAAGTTTGAGTTATGCTCTGAAGGCAGGTCCATACCATACACCACCACATTCACGCCTGTATCACACAGCTTACTCCAGAGCTGCCAGATGTAACTGCAGCAGCCCCAAGTCTTGCAATGTCCCTGTGACACCACCTCCTGTCACGTTGCTTTATGCTACTGCTGCAGACTCCCAAGAAACCAGTGTCCTCCTTTATCTGCACATTCTCCACAGCTCGCTCTGTGGACCGTGGGCCACCTAGTTGTAGACACACCTGTCCCCAGCAGTAATGTAGGAGGTGCAAGAGCTTGGTGCAAACCGTGCTCACACCAGTCAATGCAGCTGCTGAGAATGTGGTTAAAGGCAGCTGTGGAGGACGTGCAGGTGGGTAAGAGAACAGAGGTCGGGGGGACGCAGCGTGCTGCCTTGAGTGACACAGCTAGTAATTCCTCTTTACGAGACAGTGTTGGCTCCAGCCGTGATAACCATCATGTTTTCTGAAGTGTTGTGCCAGGCCCAGTGGGAAGAGGTAAAGTTTCAGGGCTGCTATTAACATGGAATTTTTCTGCTTTCAGAGGTTTCAGTAGAGACACACTTAACAGTCTTACAGGATTCAAGGCATTGCCAAGCACCAGGAATCCTGCTAAAGGTTCTTGACCTGTGTATAGTATTTCCTGGTGTGGCAATTAAAAACTAGCAACTAGAAAACCAGAAATTTGGAAGAGAGATCCTGACTGAGTAATGCACGAAAGATGTTGTGGAACTAATTAATAGGTTGTATAACGTACCACATTGCACCCGGTATGACATATCCGTAAGTATCTGGATAGCAATGCAGCTCAACTCCTTTTGGCACGGCTGTGTATTTACAATCCAAGTTTACTTGGAATAAGCATTGCAAAACAACTCTACTTAAATAAGAACAATATGTGAAATCCTGGTCATGTACTATTGACTTCAGTGAACCCAGAATTTCATCCAGTACACCTATGTTGTACAGTGTTTCTGCTTCGTTGAGTAGTGAAGCTAATTTTAAGGGTTATTTATGGCTCTTGCAGGTGATGCTTATTACCTGCACAAGAACATGTTGTTCCTTGAATAGTGACCAATATTGTAAAGTCTAATACTTTAATCCAGATGAATAAATGGGTGTATTGTGGCATTGTGCAGAGATCAACTTGGCAGATTAGGATTTATTCAAAACTTTATCTTTGAAGTTGCCTCATTCATCATAAACCCCATGATTTCTTCCCCCATAAAAAAGGAAAGCCCGTACACGACCCACTTCTACGTCAAAAAGCCTTTTAATAATCTCTTTGTACTAAGCCTAATCTCATCTGTCAGTCTTCTTATCACAGAGGAGAATGGACGTTTTCCTCTGCCGTGTGTTACGTGCACTTGCCTGATGCTGTCAAGCCCGCCCAGAGATGGCAGAGTCTGACATGTGCTGTGGCTCAGCTCAAGATAAGGCTGAGGATGAGGCAGTGTTTCTTTGCTGCCCAGAATTTGGAGAATGTGGCTGTTTGGAAGAGCACATTTTTGGCAAACTGCAGTAAACCTTTACCAGGGTGTGGGGATGCCCTGCTGCTCGCATGGAGCAAAGGAACAGTCAGATGAGAAAAATCTGATGTGGCTTTGAGAGCGGTCACTTCAGCAGCCGAACAGCATTTTTTTCTTTATTACCTTTGATTTGCTCTGTTGAGCGTTCCCGTTAAATGACTGGAAATGAAATGGGATTATGGAAGTCTGAGCTTGGAAATAGGTGGGGAGCATCTCAGCATCAGCTAAATCTAATACCACAGCGCTTCAGTATGTCCTTGAATACAGTTCTGCCTTTCATCCTCTGGGGATTTCAAGCAATTTAGTGCTTCAGGAAAAAAAAATAAATCTGGAGGTTGGTTTGTATTGAGCCTGAACACAGGATTCCTAGAGCAAATCTTATGAAGTGTCATGACTTGACCAGGAGCCAGCTTCACAACCTGTAAAATGACCAAACCAGGCCCAAGTCCTCTGTGGCTTGGGTGTCCCAACACATACGAATGAGTAAATTACAGGTGCTCGGGGTTGTAGTAGAAGCAGCCTATCCAAAATCCCCCCACAGCTTGTCTTCTGCCATTGGAGTTTTTAGCACTACCTCTTCCCTCTGGTGGCAGGTGGCCAACAAAGGGTGCTGGGACTGAATACACCCCACCGACTCTGCCAGCTGGACATACATACAGGGATCATCCCCCCAAGTGGAAAATGTAGGTCTTGGTGGTATTTTTCCTAGAAGGAAAAGAGGATTCATTGATTTCAGGAGAGATAAGATGTATGGAAGTCACAAACAGCAACTCAACAGCAAGAGAATGTAATAGCCTGACCACCTCTTGTCTAGCGTTAAGATTTCATGACTTTTAGAAAAGGACCAAAGGAAGATTTTCAGAAATGTTCAGAATTTGCTTAGCACTGCTCACATGGATGCTGAAATAATTTTTAGTCATGATTTTGTAATCATAATTTGATAGAAACAGAGGTAGGACATCCCAGAGGGCTTTTTTCCCAAAGTCTTGCCAAGAACTTAGAAATTTCGCTATAATTTGCGTGGTCTTCCCTTATCTTAAATTTCCAGCTCCCAAAACCAATGCAGCATACCCAGGAAGAGACCTGTTAGAAATGATAAAGCTATGAAGGGAACTAAAGTGATGCCTGCACAAGTGGCAGTACCAATATTGCATGGGCTTTCTTACTCTGCATCTGTACCTCTAACTCTGAAATGCTCTAAAAAAACCTCGCTTGTCTGCTTACAGGTTTTTGTTAGAAGCGTTTTAAGGTTTGAAAGGTTGCTGTTTGACCAGCAGTCATCCATGCAGGTTAGGCTGATTGAAAGCTGTTGCAAGTTTATCATGTTTTGAATGTACTGGTGGACAAGCAGAGACTGCTTCAGGATTAGAAGTTTGAGCAGCCCTAGCGTGGGCATCACCAGCTGGCTGGCTGAGCCTTCATTATAGTTCTTACTGCTAAAGAAAACCCAAAACATTTTACAACAGGTTTCTTAAAAACTAATTGGTACAGAGGAACCAAAAATCTTTGGCAGCATTTTTGAGTGAAGCCTCCTCCTGATCTCCACCAAAGTGTGTAGAGCAAGCTCATCTCACCTTCACACATTCAGGTGGTGTCGAGTGGAGAGGTTGCATCCCCAAGAGTGGACACCGAGGTGGATGTGATGGCTGAGCAGCAGGCTGGTGTTGGTGAGAACATGTTGACTGCAAGTGTTCTGGTAGCAATGAGGCTTCAGCTGCATGAAGGTGGTGGTGGAGGAAAGAGGCAGGTCATGTCTACATGCACATGGTCTCAGGCTGCTTCAGCCTTCAGGATTTGCTGCAAACCTCTGCGCCATGTGCTTCAAGTCATCCGTAGGTTTCTTCTGACACTCACATGGTACCAGTTTGGACACTGCCAAAGCCAGTGTTGCTGCCTCTACCTGCACTGGGGATGTGGGCTGCATACCTGGATTGGGGTGCCCATTGCCTGTGTCCCAACAGGCAGATGGGGTGAGGTGGCTGTGTCTGAGGACCGCCTCCACTTGGTGCCCCAGTGGAAAGCCCTGTGGAGATGCATGTGCAGCGCTATGGGCAGCCCCATGGAGCCATGCATTGGATGACAAACCACACACTCAGAGTGATCTCCTTCAGGTCCTTCACAGAATGATTTTTGCATTAATTCATTTCCCTTACTCCCCCATGTAAGCCATGTAATGCTGCATGTTTGAGATGAATGAGGTCAAGTCCAGAGTGAAACAAAAATGTGAAACTAAAGTACAGCCTGCAAAGCATTGGTGTTGGGCAAGATATATTAGTACTTAAGGTACGTAACCCATGGAGGAAAACCAATCCTAATCTGTGTCAAATACTTCTCACTGAGGTTAGCTGTGTACAGGCAGTCCCTGTGCGACTTGTTGGCCCATATCTCCTAACTTACACATTGCAAACATGTTTGGTGCAGTCCCAGCCCCATGCAAACCCATGATGGAGCTTGCAATGACTTTCATCAGGGCAGTTCTCCTCCAGCAAGGGAGCAGTGTGATCACCCCAGGAGCCTCTGAGACGTGAAAGATTATCATATAATCATACAATTGTAGAATCATAGAATGTGTTAAGTTGGAAGGGACCTTTAAAGGTCATCTAGTCTAACATCCCCTGCAGGGACATCTTTAACTAGATCAGGTTGCTCGTCGATGGCCATGGAAATTAGAATGAGACACATGTTTACTTTAAGCTGAATTGGGATAAACTGGTTTTATCAGTGCGTTGCCATCTCTTTGCTGCTGGCCTGGGAGACCCCAGCCCCTCCAGACAAGGCCATCTCTGGTGTGTGCTGCCTGTTCTCTCTAGCCCTGTGTTGTACCTATGTTCCATGTGAATCTTTATTTATTTAAGTAGTAGCTTTAGAGCTACTTTTCTGAGAATATTTCCTTTTATTTCCGCCCCCCCTCCAAATGCTTGAGTGGAAACTAGTTTATTGTTGGGGATTTCACTGCCTTTTTTTTTTTTAAGGTGAACGTCAAATAATTAACCTAATTGCTTGAAGCCAGATTTTTAATCAATAGAAACAGAAGAAAAAGTCTTGCATTATAAAGCAATAAATAAATTTCAGTGCTTAGGAATAGAGAAAAAATATTTTTCAGCTTACTGTATGTTCACTTAAAAAACAACAACTGTTCAAACAAAAAAAGAAAGGTTTGATGTATGGGCTGTAAAGTTGGCAGTATTAAAAGCTGTGGATGTTTTGGCAGGTACAATGTTGTGTGTCGGCATGGCAATTGCAACACTTGAAATCAAAACAAAGAGACTGCATAAAAATTTTGTGCAAGTTAGAACATACTCCTGCCTCTTAAGTGATGAGGAGGTACATTACAGGTAGCAGGCAAACGTCAGAAAACTCTGTTTTATTTTGTTTAATGTCCTCTGATGTCTTCATTACCTGGGTACCCGAGTGCCCACCAAGGAGAGCAGTATCTTGCTTTGCTTCTCACTCTCAGTTATTGCTCATTTTCTTTCTTACAAGAGAAGCTGCAGAGATGCTGATGAACTTTTTAAAAAACATTGATTTTGCTCAGAAACTAAGTTGTGATATGAGCCTGTTTTCTCTTTCGTCACATTGTGTGGACAATTTAGTCTCCTCCCCAATGGTGTAGTAAATATTGATGCATTTTGGGCAATATCAGATGGTATCAGCTTCTGACTACTGAAACTGAAAGAAGGTAGATTTACATATTAGATATTAAGAAGAAATTCTTTACTGTGAGGGTGGTGAGACACTGGAACAGGTTGCACAGAGAAACTGTGGAAGCCGCCTCCCTGAAGGTGTTCAAGAGCAGGTAGGATGGGGCTTTGAGCAACTTGGTCTAGTGGGAGGTGTCCCTGCCCATGGCAGGGGAACTAGATGATGTTTAAGGTCGCTTCCAACTCAAAACGATTCTATGATTCTATGACTATCTGTTAGCAGATGAAATAATTTTGATTCTGAAGTCAAAACTACTCTTGCAACCAGCGAGCATATCCCACACAGGTTCTTCTTCACTGCTCTGTGATTTCCCCAAACATAAAAACTTTGGAATTGGAAACTAATCTGTGCCTTGGTTGAGAAATGGGGTCAGACCTTTCTGCAGCAGGCATGGGGGCACGTGGGGTCTTCCTCCACCCCAGCAGCCAGGCAGGCATGGCCCCGCTCTGCTCCTGGCTGGGAGGTGTGCTGAGGTGGAGAGCGGCTTTGGGGTGGCCCAGCAAAGGCTGCCGAGTGTCCAGCTCGTTTCACATGAATCACATGCAGAGGACAAAGCACCAAGTGTTTTGAAATCTAACCCAAACCACTGGTGTTGAAGATTTGTGTGGCATTAGGAAACCCAGGCACACTGGGACTTTGGGGCTGGGTCTCATCAGAGAAGAGAAGGCGAGGGGAAGCTGGTGCAAGAAAGTAAGCAAGCAAGAATTCACACCAAATTCCTGATGCAGAACATTAATTATACAAGTTATGAGCTTGGCCTTTGTACCTTTTTTTTTTTTTCTGTCTGAGCAGAGAGAGCAGGACAAATGTCTATAGAAGTGGTTATTCAGTTGTATTTTCCACAGCCTGGGATGTGATGGATGTTGCTGTGGGCTGACACAAACACCAACACTTACGTTCAGATGTCCCAGCTGTTTGCACAGCGTTGTGGATGGAGGAGAGTGTGGTGGCTTGGAAGCAGGGTTTGGTTTGTCTTCTGCCACAGGCTTCGTACAGGAGCACAGGTGGATCACGTAGCTCTTCATCCTCTGACTCTACAGCCCTGCCTAGACTGGGGGCACTGGGGGCTGCTGGAAGTGTCTCTTCCCTCAGTGTGGAGTCATTCCTGAAAAATGATCTGGGAAAGGCCTTTTGGCATCACTGCTTTGCCTGTCACACAGGTTGCCCTGGTGGAACTGGCCTTGCAGGGAGAGCTGGGTGGCAGAGGGCTTGCTAGAAGTGGTGTGTGCACGTGTGGGTCATGGCTGGTGGAACCTCTCCTCCACCTCCCAGGATCTCCTGCACAAGATCCAGGTGCTGGCCCTGGCTATGGGGACAGGAGATGGGGAGTTACTACTGGTTGCCCAAGGCAACACATCCCTGTTTTTCACATCAACATGAGGTGCTCCCCCAAATAGCAGAGACTTACAGCGCTGCTCAGCTGCCGCCCTGTGCAGAGCACTGGTCCATGGGCAGCAGACCCTGGTGGAGATCCAGGATAGATCAGGCTGCAGGTGCAAGGATCTTGTCTCTGGTTCCGTTTCAGTGTGTCTTCTCCTCCCTCAACATTTTTCCTGTTGGTGGCTCAGCAGGTCTCCACCTGGCCAGTGCAGCAGCACCTTTGCAGCTCAGGACACCTGAGCCAGGGTCGACGTCTCCGCCATTGGCAGCAGCTGGAGAGTGGCTCCTGGGCAGGAGCCGGGGTGGCCGTGGGCACCTGCTGAGTCCAGGTGGCAGGTGGCCATGCAACACCCTTCTTCTGCCCTGCCCACAGCAGACCTGGACCAGCAGTTTGATATTAAGCTTATTTATTTAAATATTTAAATAAGTAGAGGAGTATAGACTATGGGAGAGAAGGCTGAGATGCTTTCTTGAGGCTGAAGCTCTCCTCTGGAGCACCAGCTGAAGCCTGTCCTGACTTAGATGCAAAAAGAGCAAAATTTCTTCCACCATGGCTAAATCCTGTACCTGTCAGATGAGAAAAAACACAGCCTGAGAAGGTGACTTTGTTCAAACCCCTGAGGCCACTCGCTTGCTCAGTCTCTGGGTCCAGACCTGAAAAGACATGAAGTCTCCCTGGTGCTGGGAGCAGCGGCGGTGTATACAACCATAAATACAGAATTTATGCAGCTTAGATTTTTAATAATTACAGATTAATTACAGCTTAAGTTTTATTAATTAAGACTGCTTTGCTGTCCTAGCTCATGCAAACTTGAATTAATATCTGCATGCATTTTTTTTTTCTCTGAGGAGATAAAGTGTTCATGTTTGATGGGCACCTGTAAATACACCTTGCAAAATGTCTCCAGTTAATTTAATGACCACAGTCAATATTTAGAGTATCCCATTTTGGCCAAGAACAGAAGAGAGCTATAATTGGGTCTAGGGAAAATGTCAGAAAAAACGTTCACCTCCTGGCTATACCTGAAATTGATTTATAACAGTGATACATAAGAAATTAGGTGAAGCAACGAGTTTTCAGACCAGTGGTACCAATATGTCAACAGCTGTGGTATAGATCCTAAAGCGCACCCTAAGATAAGTTTGCGTTTGATGAGCAGCAGCTCCCATGTAGCACAGCAGCTGTTTGGGCTAAGACCTGCTTTAAAGAGTCCCTTTTTTTGCCATGTGGGCATGGGCAGAGGCATTTCAACCATTCCAGAGGGGTTTTAAGGACCTGAAGAGGTGTGATGTGCTTCCCTACCCCTCCTTCTGCCCACACCAGGCTATAGTTTAGGGTTTTCTCATCTCTGTCACAAAAGCAGAACCCTTAGTGCTTACCCCACAAAGATGAGATGTGCTCAGAGCAGCCACTCTTCAGGTGCCACCTGAACTGGTGGAAGAGGGGGGCTGTGGGTGGACACAGCACTGATGCCAGGCCAGGGTGCTTCTGCACTCGCTTCTACAAAGATTTTAACCACCAGCACAGTAACTGCCCATTGTGTCCCTTGCAGCTACCAAATCTAGCTGTCTCCTCTTTTCCAGCCCCTTTTCCAGGACTCTCCTGCAAAGCCCATGAGTTCCACAGCACCATAGGGTGACCTCCTGGGTGCCCCATCTCACACAGCCCCGGGGGACTGGATGCAGGGGCAGGAGGGGCAGCGCGGCTGCCTCGGGGAGGCTGGCTGCTGGCTGGAGAGTAAAGAGGTGCTGGGAAAAAATGGAGCAAAGCATGATGATACTAAAGTATTGAAGTATTTGGTCCGTTTTACTCCTTGTCTCCAGACCTGATTTCTAGGAGAGAAATTTCTAGTGAGAACATTTTTATTTTATTTTAGGCACTTCTCTGGCTTGATATTGAATCCTGGGTGATGTGATGTTGAAGGATCAAATACATTGCAAATTACATCTCCTATGCCTATTTTCATGTGCTTTCTGTCCTTCTTTAAAATCTTTTACTGTGCTTCCTCCGTAGGGTCCCTTGGGACGGCTGGTCGGGTTTGTAACCAAACCTCCCGCGGCATGGACAGCTGCGAAGTGATGTGCTGTGGGA